CCATCCATCTTTTGTTGAGAACCCTGGTGTGATCTTTAGCTACTTCTTTAAATTTGATGAATACTTTAGTTCAGTTGAAACAATCAGTCACACACACACACACACACACACACACACACACACACCCTGTTGCAGGAGGATGTGAGCAGGGAGTACACAGTGGTGAACTAATGATAATCAGCTTCTATGCTGATAGTTGTCGATCAGTTGATTCAGTAATTTTTCATCAACAGTTTCAGCGTCTAAATAAAAAGTATGTGCTGCTTTTATTTGTCTGGTGTGAAAGTGAATAAATATATCCGGGTCTGTTAGTCGATCTGCTGAACTGTCCTCAGGCAGATCCACAGACTGTTTTTTAGTAACAAATTGAACCATGTCTGGTAAACGACCGAGTCCTGGGTGTTCCATTTGGTAGAAACTGCTGTCCTCTCTGGTCCTGTAGCTATGGAACAGGAGGTCTCCCACTCTGCACAAACACTGTGACTACAGGGAGGCTGCAGGTGACCAAACAGGAGAATGGGACATGAAGCTGTTGCAGCCCTGCACTGACATAACCTGACTGAGAGTGCTGAGCCAGCTCCTGAGGACCAAGGTGGAGAGGGAAGGACACAAACACAACAATGTTCACAAAGACTGAATTCAGAGTTACTCATAGTCTCTGGGTGTGACAGCATCTGCTAAGTGCATAGGAGTGGCCCAATAATGGCAGTTTCTCATGTCTACCTTTCCTCCTCTCACAATGTTGGGAACAACTTTCACTGTGTCTAGAGGTGGAGAGGAGGCTTGCAGAACGTGAACATGACAAATCTGCCCCAGGTGACCTGTCAGGTATTCTAACAGATCCAGAAGTGCATGTACATTAACATGCTGTGTCCTGTGTTGGTCTATTTGATGCATACATGAGTCTGAGTCAATGTGCTGCTCACGATGCAGGATTTAAATTCAATTAAATTTTATTTATATAGCTGAAATAATAGTAATACTACTACTTCTACTACTAAATAATAATAATAATAATAATAATAATAATAATAATAATAAAATGAAAATGAAATTAAAAAAGACATCACAAAATAAAAGCTTTTTTATAAAATGTGTCTTAAGAACCAGAATCTGTTTTATTGGCCAAGTATGTGGACACATACAAGGAATTTTGTCTGTTAAAACGAGACAAAAACAAGACAAGAGTGTTGGATGTGTCAGACAGTGCAAAGCAGCAATTAAAGTAGTGCAAACACTAAATAATAAATACTAGATAAATATGTGATATGTATTATCAAGAAGAAGTCTCTGAGAGTCTGACCTCCTCTGGCATGTTGTTCCAAAGTTTAGGGGCCCTGACAGCAAAGGCCCCATCTACTCTGGTTCTCAACCTTAACCTTTGAATGACCAGCAGTGAACAACTAGAGGATCTCAGGATGAGTCCTGGATCATAGGGGGATAAAAGCTCAGAAATATAGGGAGCGACCAGCCCAAACCTGGCCTTAAAAGTAATTAAAAGAATTTTTAAATCAATCATAAAATAAACAGGCAGCCAGTGTACAGACGCTGAGATGGGTGATGGTGATGTGAACACATTTTCTTTTACTGAGTTTGGAGCCGAGCTGCAACATTTAAACTAACTGTAGGAGGAGGACTGATTTCTGACTGAGAGAGGTATACAGGGAGTTACAGTAGTCAAGGTGGTAGGAAATAAAAGCATGGATAAGTTTCTCCAGATCTGTGGCTGAAGTAAAACATTTGCCCATGGCTGTATTTCTCAAGTGATTAAAACATGACTGAACAACTTTTTTTTCACCTGGGGTTCAAATCACAAATCCTGATCAAAGATTACTCCAAAATTTTTGGCTGAGGGCTTCATGGAATTTGTTAATTAAACTAAATTTTCTAGGATTTCTGTTGTTTTTGCAGGTAGACCAAGTATGATTTAATTGTAAGACATTGTCTGACATCCAGTATTTTATTTCAGTAAGACAGTTGTGAAGGGTTACTATGTTGGATTGGTCACAGGGTCTGATTGGTAGATAAAGTTGCGTGTCATCGGCATAGCAGTAAAAATGGACATTGTATGCTTGTAGGAAGGCTGAAGAAAAAACAGATTATGATCTGATCTGCCAAGTGGTGGTAGAGCTGAAGCAGTGTAGGCCTCTTAGACATTTGCATACAACAGATCAAGTATCTTATTTTCCCTTGTGGGACAGTCAACACACTGAGTGAAGCCAGTCAGGTGAAAGGTGAAAGTGACATGGTTAAAATCCCCCCCGATATTGCAATGAATACATCACTGTGCTGGTTCATCACACTTTTAGCCAGGGAGTTGACATTTCCCATGAGGATCGATGGAAGAAAAGACTTATATCTCCATCTCCTAGCCTTTAGCTTAGCCCCAGCTCTGCATCCACGGTACAGCTTCTTTAGCTCAGCCAGTATGGGATGTTTAACTCCATATCAGGAAAATTTTAAAGCCAGGAGTTCTTCCTTTGTGTACGTTATTTTCTCTATTGTCAGACGAAACAACAACATAGCATATAAAACATCAATCGACAAAAAATATACAAATATATACAAATATATTGCAAAAAACTATGAGCTAGGAAGACTTGCTGCCACTTGTTGTCAGTGCATCATTTGGAATGCCATGCTGGTGACACACCGTTGTATATTTCACTGGATCCAAGTGATGACTAAACACTTTGTCATTAAACAACTTGTTTTTGAACCCTCTGATACGACCCATAGGAGTGTCTGTTGAAATAGTGCCCCTAAAACAGCAGGTGTACCTGACCTTGATTGTCATGGTCACAACAATAAACATGCTGACTATATCGAGAATGGGGTACCTACCTTTGTCACCTTTGTTACTATAAGAAAAGTCATGGCTTGGTTAGGTGTAGGAAAAGATCATGATTTGGGTTAAATAAGTACTTCTGCAATATTAGACGATCTTTGTTGTCATGGTTACAAAACTGCTCTCCTGATAAATATTCATCCATCCACCACAACCTCCTCCTGACGTGGACGTTGTCTCTTTTTCTATTATGTCACCGCACTTTTCCCTTTGCTTCCGTCATCATTACTACAACCATTAGATATTGCCTAGCAACAAAACGTAACTATGGGTCATAATAACCTGCTGCACAGATGACCTGTGGCTTTGACAGGAGGACAGTATCAAATTATATTAGTTGGTCTAGAAACACTATGGGCCCTATCTTACATCACACAAAGCGCAACGGTACTGTCTTTGCAAATTTCAGACTGACCAGTTATCATTTCCCTTCCAACGTCCACGTTGTTTAAATAGCAAATACACTTGCGCCTATCTGTGCGCCCATAGGAGTGTTGGTCAGGAGCATTGTTGGTACATTGGTATGTTGAGGCAGCTGAAAGTGATTGACCAACAAAAACCTGGTCTTAAGGTAGTGGCTCAGTAATTCACTGTTATTTTATTTTAATGCACATGGGCAAGAGAGTAATATGTGCCAGCAAAGGGCGCACGGAGCTCAGACACTGTCTGTTACACACAAGTACAGTCAGCTGAAAATGAGCTTAGATGTTGGTTTAAGTCAAGTGAACATTACAGTACTGGACTCACTGGTCAGGAATGGACTTACTCGTCAGGACTGGGCTGACTGGTCAAGAGTGGATTCACTGGTCAGGACTGTACTCAGTAGTCAGGAGATTGTATTGGATGGTACACCCAAAACACTCTCATGATTTATTAAGAGATTAAGTACAACTCTTTTGAATCATGCACCTGGAGCAGAGACAGGTTTTTTCCACTATTAAAATAGTAATAAAGACATGGACACACCCTGAATGCACTTGCACCACGAACTTTAGACCATGAGCTTTGGATCGTTAAAACAGAGCCTGAAGTGTGCTAGTTCTCTCCAAAGCCCAATATATGAGTTTGACCCCACAGGTTAAACCTGAGGTCACCAGCCTGGTCATTATTTCAATTTTAAATCCCAAATAATGACCAAAGCTGCTTTCTTTCATCTAAAAAATATTGCAAAGGTATGAAAGCTTTCCTGCCATCAAGACACTCAAGAACTTTTTTTTTATTTGAAGTAGACCAGACTTGTGTAAACCTCTTTTCACTGATCTTCCTAATTCAGACCTGTGCTGCCAGGCTTAACTGGACCGAGAGAGAGAGAGAGAGAGAGAGAGAGAGAGCATGTCAGCCCAGGTTTAAACTCAACAGGCCTCGAGTGTCATGATATGTAAAAAAAATTTATTTATAGTGTCTGAGGTGTGAGTGAGAATTTTTTTCACCTTTTAGAACAAATAAAGAGTTGGTGTGTCCATTATTAAAGCTAACAGATGAAACACAAAGTCACAGTTCACAGTACAGATGACTTTCACAAAGAACTGGATATATGTATATCTACAGTGTATCTGCTCAGGCTTAACTACTGTGGCTTCATATGAACACTACTGAGTGTCCATATAAAGGGATTGGTGACCAATAAGTGAATGACAGAAACAGCATCTTCTTCTACGCTTTACCAAACCACACTGGTCATCACTTAAAAAAATAAATAGTTAGAAGTGAATTTACTTTGATTTAGTGATGTAAAACTTGACAGAAACAACATGTGATCAAGTCCAGAGACAATAAACTCTGTATTAGCTTTCTAGACCAGAGACATCTGGACTCATTAGACACAGGTGGAGCTCATCAATGACGACTGCACTTCAATTATTACATTAATTACTGTGATACCTAAATATGATGGTAAAATCACCATAATGTTGCATCACAATTTTCCTGATAGAAAAATGACTAAAGCTCAGCAAATACCTCAACATTTAACTGGGTTTAAAACAAAAGGAATATAATCAGCATTTTATCTGGTTCGGAATGATTGATGGGTTTTTTTGTATTCCTTTTTTCTTCTTTTGATGCGTCATTAAAATATTTGTGCTGTAGGGTATCTCTCTGATCATGTGTGCGTGTTTGTGTGTGTGTGGTGCAGCACTCCTCTCTCATAAGCCTCCTCCTTCCTCCATCAGCTCACAGTCAGTCAGGAACTCTTGTCAGGACTCTACTGGTTCACTTGATACGAGCAGTGGGACTTTGCTCCAGTCATGGTTCGGGTTTCTTGGCCCGTGTTTGTGCTGCTGCTGTTGGTGGTGAGTACAGAAGGGGTTTCCTGTGTCTTTCAGCTGTTCCAGTCTGAACTGTGTCTGTGGTTCATGTTGTATGATAGTATGTGAGGAGTCTGTGGAGGTGTCAGATATAAACATGTAAATGTCATTCTGTTTTTATAGTTAATATTTCTAAAGCTCAGAACTGAGACACTTCCATGATGTTTTATCAAGGTTACCTGTAGATATACAGACTTTTTCAACCACATTGACTTCACACAAATTATTTACAAATTCTTACTTGTTCCTGTTCATCATTTCTGATGCTAATTATAAATTATACTCTTTTGATAAAACACGGAGTCTAGGTTTGATCATACTCTCACATCATAGGTTAGGGATCTTGTTCATGTTGACCCTAACAAATACCTGGCAGCCATGGAAACACATATGTGGGCTGTACCATCACATCATTTCTCATATAGAGCTGGAGAGATTTGTTGAATCATCAGTTTATTAAAAGTCAATTTGAATGAATATTGTGTTGTTTTCAAAAAATGAAAAATGTTCAAATATCCATAATCATATCATTTCAGTGTGAAATTAAAAACACGTCATGCTGCTAGTATTAATTTGAAGTTACATGACTTGAGAAAATAATTTAAATATCAGAACTGAATCAAGTACATTTGTGTTGAAAGCAGCTTTAAGCAGACTGTGCTGACTCTGAGCCTCAGCTGGTTGTTACTTCTGTGGTATTTTAACATGTTTCAGTTGATTTCTGCTCTAAAACACAGAAAATCATCATGTATCATGAAAATCCAATGTCATTACAAACTGTTTTCTTCCTGCTCCCTCATCTGCCCAAACCAATTCCTCAGGAGTTCAGTGGCTGATCTGAACACAACAAGTTAGCAGCCTTGTTGCCCGAGGCCTTATGATTTCTGAAATAATCCAGCTCTGATTTGGCTGACTGATCACAGCCTTCTTCTTTTTTTCTCAACGCTCCATTGGACTTCATGTTCATTTAGTCATTCTTGAGTAATGAAGTGAGAGAAGGAAGGCAATGCCCTTAGAGGTATTTCTCAGATGGAGACAAACGGTCCCTGTCATTAGTGTTGATTCAGTTCATTCTTTTTTTTCATACATGTCGTAGTGAGTCATACTGAGCTCTTCTTTTTCAACAAAAGACTGCCGCACCCTTTTCTTCTTCTCCTCATACCTTTATTATCCTGACATGCCCATGTATTAACTGAGTAGTTAAATTTTCCAGCAGTGGTAGGGTGTGGTGCCTCTCTCTGTCCACAGCAGCTACACAGTACCTGACAGGTGGAGACTTTTACAAACAGGCCCTTGCAGTATCTTAACTCATGCTAAATATAAGCATTCCAGTCAAAAAAGCTTCCACATCAACCTCCTGGGTGTAATTACAAGTTAGAGTGAGACAAATATATGTTTGCACTTGGCAGATGAATACAAAAATGTTAACAGCCCAAACAAATTCAGCTCCATCCCTGTCAGCAGCTCAGTGAAAGTAAACTTCAGTCTGACACTAAAACACTGGTTAAAGGGCTTTGCATTTACTTCAGGTAACTTCTATTTACATGGTTTGACTACAGGACAAACAGAGAAAGTAATAATCTTCATCTTTTTCATCCTTGTTGTTTATGTAATTGATTGCTTGTGGAAAATACAAACAGCAGAAAACCGTGCATTTTTCATAGTGTCATGATATTTGAAATTAAATTAAATTAAATGATTAGTTGAAAAAAAATCAATGGATTGATCAAGAATGAAAATAATCTTTTCTTTCAGCCCTACAATAAACCTTTGCAGCCTTTTTGTCTCATTTGCAAATTCACTGTCTCTGTAGAATTTTTAAAAAATATTTTTCAGCTGATATTACTCTCATTGAGAAAATTCTCTATTTTTTCTTAATTTGTAATTATTTTATTTATTAATATACATTTATTATTTAGCTGTATTTTTTAATCATTCTTCCAGAATTCAGCTAATTTTACGGTGAGAAAAACAAACTGCCCCAATATTCACAACAAAGGACTATGTGTTTGAAAAGGTTTGATGTTTTTGCTGTGTCTTTATCTAATATTATCTGAAATACACATGCCTTTTTTTATTCAAGGTCCCAGGAGAACTTGTAGTTCAAAATGTCTGGAAAATGAGGAAGATGAATAAAAGAAATTATGTTAAAATCACTTAATGTCAGCTTTGTGTCAAACACTCATGACTTGTCACCTGAACACCCTCACTCTTTGAAAGGAAATTAATTGAGGAAAGATGTGACTATTTTCTTCTTTGGTAGTTTTGGCAGTGCCTTTGTTGGGCCTCAGCCAATTCTAAAGGTGGAGACCACATGCTCTTTTTTTCTACTGACAGTGAGGGACATTTGAGTGAGGGAATAATTGTTTTTTATTGCAATATCAGGCCTCACCAGGTTCACTGAAGAACCTGTGTCCACCAATAAAGAGCAGTGGTTGCCTCAATAGAACAGATGCATATCACCAGTGCCCTATTCAGGCTGGTTGAGCATTGTGTAAATCACTCCAGTCAATCGTCTATATCCTCTGCAGGATGCAACACCCTGACTTGGTTTGCTGCTTCCCCACTGAGAAAGGTCCAGGACCTAGTTCCAGGAATCTCTCTGAGTTTGGTTCCCTAGTTCACAGGTGTAACAGGGTAGTGCTACACCAAGTGGCCAGGCTGTCCACATCCTCAGCAAATTCTTGAGCATGACCTGGGGAGCTGTTGCTTTTGACATGTGGCAGCCTGCACTTTCTGGGTTAGTTCCTACACCCATCCAGGTTCATCCCTTTCCATACCTACCACCAAAGCTTCCTCGAGCATCTGAGGGTGAGCCAGTAGTGTCAGGACATGCAGATCGGCTGTAAACAGTGTCTGAAGAATGGTTTCTGGAAAATTTCGGAGCCAAAATGCAGAACACAGACAAGTGAGAAACAGTAGTAGTAGTAGTAGTAGTACTAGTTCAAAATAGTTCAATTGCAAACTTGTGGAGGACAGGGTGAATGGTTGGGGCAGGCTTGTAGGGAATGCGAAGCAGCTGGTTTGGTGGAATAGGCTGGAGAGCGGGTGCAGCAGAGATGAACGAGTATAGTGACAGAAGGCAGGATGGAGGTTCCAAACCGGGAAAAGGGATGGAGACAAAGGCTTGATGTGGCTGACAGGAGGAGCAGGCAACAGGATCTGAGGCACCGGTACAACAAAGAGTAAACACAGATCTGGCAATCAAAAATGCAAATACAAACTAGAACTAGAGTTGGCTGTAACATTTGTAAACCTCTGGTAGACTGAACAATCTGGCAAATATTGGAGGGATGAGCCAGGGCTTTTAAGCTAGAGTTGATTGTTCAGTAGGTGATGACTTGTAGCTGTACTGCTGTGGAAGAAGTAACTGGAGAGCCACACTAGGTGGACAACACATCTGCACACAACTGGAGGAAAGACAAACTGAGGACAAACAAAACACACAGGGAAAGGGATCGGAGACAGCCTAACCCTGACAGTACCCCCTCTAAGGGGAGCCTCCTGGCAACCCACCAGGTTTGTCAGGATGACTACAATGAAATTCCTTAATTATCTGAGCATCCAGAACAAAACATTGGGGCACCCGGGACCACAGGACCACTCCTTAGGACCATAGACCTCCCAACCAGGTAGTGAAGACCCCTGCCATGACGACCCACATCTAGGAGTCTGCGCTTGGAAAAAACTGGATGATCATTGATATCCGGGTGTGGTGGAAGGGGATCGACAGGAGGGCAAAGATACTGGGAAACATTAAAGGTGGGATCATTCTTCATAGAACTGGGCAACTGTAACTTAACTAAGGTTGATAATGCTTTCAAGGCCAAAATGGCAGATAAAATGAGGGCAGCTCCTTGGATTCAGATTTCATGGGAATATTCTTGGAAGAAAGCCAAACTGTCTAGCCTGGTTCATACATAGGAATCCTGTGTCTTTCTGGAGCACTCTTGCTGCTGTCTACAGAACAAAGGAAAGCCAATCAAGTGTCCATCCATATTTGATGCTGATGCTGGACCAAGGGAACTGCCAACTCACCTTCTTGAGAGAGGAAAAAAGGGGATTGATAACCCAGTGAAGCTTCAAATGGAGACAAATCTGTAGTCACACTGGTCAAAGAGTTGTTGGTGTTCTCAATCCAAGCCAGGTATGAACTCCATGAAGCTGGGTTAGAAGCAGCAATACAGTGAAGGACAGATTCCAGGTCCTGATTGGTTCTCTGTTTGAGCATTAGTCTGAGGATGAAAGCTAAAAGATGGGCTGACTGTAGCTCCTAATGCCTGATGAAAAGTCTTCCACACCTGAGGAAAGGTATGTCAGACTGAATAGCCAAGTCCCTGCCCAAGAAATTATCCTCAGCACCAGAATCTATGAGGGCCCGAAGAGGCAAGGTGAGTTGATTCCAGCAAAGGGAGGCTTGAACTTGTAATCAAGGTAAGGATGTGGTGGGACACTTGATGTTGTTCCTCAGTATCCCCAAACCTGCTGATTACCCTTGTCTTTTGGCCATCACGGACAGGCAGCAATGAAAGGACCAGTCTGACCACCAGAGACAGACTGCTCTTCTCAACTACACAGGCTCGTCCTCTGTTGAGTGAGCCTTGGTGGTGGGTCTGAGGGTGGTTGGGTCCTTACTCTCATGAGGAGAACGTGGTGTAAGTAGTAAGTACTACATCTATTTAGTAAGTAAAGGAGATCAGTTGAAGAAATGAAGTTCATAGTAAGTGCAAGTTAGACATGTTAGGGTGTGTGACATGTTAGGAGAGAAGGTGCTCTCTTGAGATGAGTGTTCAACAGATTCTTGAAGATAGTCTATCCTGCTCTGATAGACTAGCTTGTTCCACCATCAGGGAGCCACAGACCAGAACAGTCTGTACTGAGTATTGTGTGCAGGGGTGGTGATGACAGATCACATTTATTGGAGGAACTCAGTGGCTGAGAAGAAGCATAACGCTGTATGATTGACTTGAAGTAGATGGTGCTGATCCAGAAGTCACTCTGAAGGCGGAGACATTGGAGACATAATTTGATTTGGGCGACCATGGTTAGCAGAGTAACGTGACCTTCCAGGCTGATCGAAGATCAGACAGGCTGCTGCATTCTGGATCATCTGTAAGGGTTTCACTGTGTGTGAAGGGAGGCCAGCCAGAAGGGCATTGCAGTAGTCGAGGCAAGAGATAACCAGAACCTGGACCAAGAGCTGGATTGCGTACTGAGTAAAGTAAGACCTGATTTTTATGATGTTGTAAAGTGCAAAGCGGCACTACTGAGAGATGGATGCAACATTGTCACAGAAGGATAGCTGGTCAACAAACATGACACCAAGGGTTGTTGCTACCTTGGTTGGGGTAAGAGATGAACAGGCGATTTTGATGTTGATATCATGGTGAAGTCTGATTGGCTAGGATGACTAGGAGTTCAGTCATAGAGAGGTTTAGTTGAAGGTGGCGTTCCTTCATCCATGTGGATATGTCAGAGAGACATGCCCAGATCCACACAGAGACCGTTTGGTTGATTGGCAGGAACAACAGGTAGAGTTGGGTGTCGTCTGCATAGCAGTGATATGAGAAGCCATGTGAGTGGACAATTGGACCCAGGGAGGTGGAGTATATTGCAAAGAGGAGGGGTCCCAGTACTGACCCATGGGGCACTCCAGCGGGGAGGTGGGATAAGGACGTTTGTCCTTGCCGTGAGACAATGAAGGAGCCCCCAGTTAAATCGGATTCAAACCAAGAAAGCACTTTGTCCCAGATTCCCATGTTGGAGAGTACAGATAGCAGAATGTGGTGGTTCACTGTACCAAAGGCTGCTGAGAGGTCTGGCAAGATAAGAACCGAAGACTGGACTGCAGCTCTAGCTGTTCTTAGAGCTACTGTTACAGACAACAGAGCTGTTTCAGTGGAGTGGCTGCTCTTAAAGCCTGACTGTTCTGGATCAAGGAGGTCATTTTGCGATAGGAATTCTGAGACCCACTTAAGAACAGCCCTTTCAATACACTTGGAAGTCCAGTCGATAGTTCTCCACTTGAGCAGGGTCAAGTGAGGGCTTTTTGAGGAGAAGGGCTACATGAGCCAGTTTAAATGCAGTAGGAAATGTTCCCGAGGCCAGTGAAGCATATGTCATACATGTGACTGCTTGCACAATGGAGGGGGATATGGCTTGGAGGAGGTTTGTGGGAATGGGGTATTGTGAATGAGATGCATTTTCGCAATAATCAGGATAATCAAAAACTGACTTCAAATTGTAAATAAATTATTCAGAACAAACTGTTGCCATTGACTGAGTAGCATACACTGCTCCTGCTCAGATAACGCTCTCCCTTTTAATAATACCATAAGATAATGTATCTTGGATTAATCACACCAAAAAGTTGGGGTTGCTACTGAAATACCATGTTATACTGGAAGAGGAGGCCTCTGCATTTGTCCAGCTCACCAGTAAAAGGCTATGGGTCTGTGGTATATGACTCCCTCAGAGTTGGTGGAATTGCAGCAGTAGAAGGGAGAGTTGGTTGGAGCAGCTAGACTGTGCTGGCTGGAGGAGTGGTTAGAAAAAAGATTTGATGTGAAATTTCAATTGATTTCCATTAGAAAGAGCCCATAGAGTTTGTTCATGTTGCTCTAGGTGGGCTGGTAACTGCTTGCTGAAGACGTGGAATCTTGCACTGAATTGTTGTGAGAATAATAATTTCTTTTCTATTTTGTGATTTTATTCTTGATATATGTATCAAGGCTCCCTTGTGGACATGCAGGGGTCATTGCTATTCAAACACAACCAAAAACCACAACCCCCAGTCCCTCTTGTTCACATAGAAATGAGTGACTAAAACAAGAACATTTTCATCAGTAGCAAATGATTGTACGATATCGGCCTATGTGCAAAGATGTCGACTAGTGTGGTCACCATCAGTCAGATTTAGAGGTATTTTTATATTTGTGGTATAATCCCAAGCACTGGAGTGTTTCAGTCTATTTAACACTGAGTCTGTAGGAAGGTTGACTATGAATATTAATAAAACTTTGACTTAATAACTTTCACTTATATTAGAGTAATATTTGACTAGGAAGATCTATACTCTGACTCCAGTAATGAAACTGTCACCTCTGGATTTATTCATATGCCAACCTTTAATGATAAGCAGCTGACTTTACATGTGTGGAGCATAGTTTCACCTGTCAGATAAAGGTTTATTGTGAAGTAATTACAACTGTTGTATTCCTGCTCCAGGCTGTTGCTGTGGTGAGGGCCAACTCTGGAGACAAACTGGTAAGGAAAAAAAGAGAATGGCTTCCCCCACCAAAGATACTGCTGGAGAATAAAGACTACACTCAAGAGGAGTCTGTTGCCAAGGTGAGTCACTGAACTTTGACTTCAACTCTCTTTAAAGCTATGCACTAACTTTGAATTTTGAGTTTTCAGATTTTATTGTCATGAACAATACATGTAACTTATAACAGCGTTTTTATCCAAACTCCACCTGCTCCTCCATGTGTGAGCAACCCCATCATATCAATTTTAGCAATGGTCAGTGCAGTAATCCTCTGGAACACAGCACTTAGTGCACAATAACCATTACCAGCAACCAGATGGAGCCACTTAAACATTTTCAGCTTCTGCGACAAAAAGGGCACTTCCCCATAGTGTTTCTCAGGGTGGAATCACAAGTAGCCAGACAAGCTGGTGACAGTAAAATCCTAGAGGGACAGTGCTGAGATGTACATTGATAATGCTCAGTAATGAATGATGGTTTACAGTTTGTTTTTGGTCTCTCTCCTCTAAAGATAGTTTTCAAACTTTACAGCTTCTTGTTCTCCTTTTTCTTATGCAAATGCTTTTTTTTTACTGTGTTAAACTGAACCAGCTCTTCTCTCTGTTTCAGATTCACTCAGACTTTGATGATGGCACAGGGAATATTCGCTACTCCTTGGAAGGCGTTGGTGCAAACCAATATCCCTTCCATGTGTTTGTCGTCAACCCTCAAACTGGTCTAATTCGTGTGACCCAAAGGCTTGACAGGGAGGTCATTGATTCGTATAATGTGAGTGATCTGTGGCAGATTTGATTGTATTTTGCTGTACTTTATAACTTTGATTTCACATTCAGTAATTGCTGCTTTTCATATTTATTGTTGAGATATTTGGCAAACATTTGCTTCAAATCAGTGTCACAGGCTGTTTGTGAATATACCTGCATTGACAGAGGGTAAAGGTGACAAAAGTGTTCCTCCTCTGTTGTTTCAGCTGTCAGGTGTTGCAATGTTCACTGATGGCAGGCAGGCAGAGAGACACATTGCCATACGATTCAAGGTTGGAGACGAGAATGACAACTCTCCAGTTTTTGGAGCCATCCAGCAGGGGAAGGTGAATGAACTCAGTGCTGCAGGTTAGTGTTTCTGTTTCCCCATCCTAATATGTCATGGCAAAGTAATCCTTCATGGCTTCATTATGAATGAAGCCATTATCGTTTTTCGGTTTTGTTTCAATGCTCAGCAGTTTATAGGTACCTTGCGTTGCTGAGTTGTGTCATACAAAAACAAAAGCTGTGTTTCTTGGCGTATCAATGCCACCTGTGATCTCCGGAATACTGTGCAACCACAAGCAAAGAACATGTAATGTGTCAACTGCAAGCTTGTTCGTCCTAATACACATGCACGCCACCAACAAAAGAGGGACCCACCATTAAAAAACACTTCCACGTGAGGCAAAATGGCCTGTGGAGGATTTATGGAGCACGATTCACTGCCATTTGTTTTTACAATATTCCAATGATTGACAGTTGGTGTTGGTAACCAGTCAGAGATACATTGAGGAACTGACCATTTATACCAAATGGTTCCACAATTTTTTTTTTTGCTGAAAAAGTCTTTGCTGTTTGAAATAGCTCAAAGAATCTGAGAAGACACAAGGATTCTGCTGAGAGAGTTAATGGCCTTTAATAAACACACATAAACAACCTTAGTTATAACAAAACCAGGGATATAGCACATGAGGAGGTTAGTGAGAACTGACTGGTTATTATGTCTGCACTGTACACCTATATGACTATGACTGGATGTGACCAGCTTAACACCTGTGAATGAGCCACTGATTGTGAATCATATATGAAACAGCTGATACCATCAGCCAGTCTGAGCACAGCTTCAGTTCTGTGCCTGACTCAATGCTGTGGCTCATCAATGAGCTAACAAAGGCAGTGAAGAAGCCTGTGAAGTAAACATGGATGTAAACAATGCGCAATTCCAAACTATTCAGAAAATCAGCTTTGCACATGTTTTAAGATAAAGGAAATGCACTCAACAGACTTCAGTCAGGAGAGACTCATTTGCTTAACAAATTAATTTTTATTGCCATGTGCAAAACAAGAGAGGACAAGTGAGAGATATGACAGTCTTTGGCGGTTAGACCCCATCATGATGTCATCATATGTGATAAGGGGGTAAAAATATAGGAAACCCCCCGGGATCCAGACACTGGTGGTGGTCCTGGAGGTAGGAAGAGGAGAAGCTGGAGATCTGGATTTGAAGAAAGTGATGATGAACTTGGCCTGACTGGATATGAAGACTGGAGGGGAAAGGGGTGGAGGAGGGTCACAGCAACCGCACTGAAATGACAGCTGACAACGGGAGAGAGGAGAACAAATTTTAAAGTATTACAGGGACAACTTGATTGGCTGGTTGAGATCGTGGTGCGATTGGTTCGCGAGTACCTGAAATCAGCTGATTACAAGGAGTGGGGTGAAACAGATAGAATAGAGATAGTCTTCTGGATTGAACTTGCGCTAAGCTTCATTTGTCAGGCCTCAAAGATACACATCATGTGACAAACACTGAATGTACACAACTTTTGTTTGTGTACAACTAAACTCCACAGAACATCTTTATGTCTTATGAGCATCTTACTGTTTCATTCAATTCTGTTTTTACAGGGACCTCGGTAATGAAAATCACTGCAACTGATGCTGATGAACCAGGGCATGAGAACTCTCAGATCGCCTACAGCATCATAGATCAGAATCCACCCCATGACATGTTCTACATTGAATCTGATGGGACCATCTATGTCAAAAATATTTTAGACAGAGAGGTACAGTATGAACTACAAGCAACAGTGTTATCCTCACATTTATTGTTGTTCAACTTTCCTGGCTTGTTGCAGCATTTATTTACTGACAAACATGCAACCCCTCTCTCTCTCTCTCTCTCTCTCCCTCTCTCCTGCATCTCACACAACCTACGTACTGATCTGCAGATCTCACACAGAGATGATAAATCAGTGTAATTAGCTTTTTTATTCATTACTGCTGTTTCTTAATGCTCCACAAAAAAAACTTTGGACGTAATTTTCTAATGCCCAAGTTTAGTTTCCACACACGTCTGCACATGAGAGTAATGCTGCAATATTATAACTGATCTCAGAACAGTAGAAGCTGAGTAAAGTACAACTTGTCAAGCACACTTTAGCTATAGCTAATCACCGGTCAAAGATCCCAGGATTATCCTCAATGCTGCTCCCCTCTCTGTTTGACAAACTCCAGCCTTTATCAATGGGACAGAACGCTGTTCTGAGATCAGATGTAAGGAGAGATATCACTTCCACTTCAGTATTGTTCTCCTTGATGTCTATCTTTAGCTTTAACTGGTCAAGATATGCTTACCTCGCTTGTCCTGATGCAGCTGCCTTTTTCTAACTAACTCTCATTGTTGCTGTCATGTTCTTTTCCTTCACCATATGTTGTCCAAGCTGCTGCAGCTGTAGCTGTAAAGTACATTAAAGTAGCTCGGCCCAGGCAAACACAGTTGGTAGTGCGTTCGTTTGTAAAGTCAGCAGGAAGATGATTTGGACATTTGGATTCTGTAATTGTTTGCAAAACAAAGTATATGTAATTTATTGTGAAGTATAGAGAGAATTCATTTTATATGTTTTTTAAAACATCACTTTTTTTTCCTTCAACAATAATGTATGGTGATTTAGTCAGTTAATGTTTAATGACTCAAGTCTCATCTCGTCGCCATCTCATCTTCTATTTTTCCATAGTTTTTGTTAACACAAACAAACACTAGTGACAAAAAAGTGACAAAAGATATAGCATTAAGACAACATTATTGAAAGTGATGATGTTCAAGGAAATTGCAGATCAAATGGATGACCCTTACTCACTCGTTACACAAGGCTTCTAGCATTTCTTCTTTAAAGACACTTATCTACCTACTGTCACTGTACATCTGGACTTTTACAAAAGTGTCTCTGACTGAAATATAATATTGCATGAGCGCAGGTCGAGGACTTCAATTGTGCATGGCCCACATACATTACAAAGCACTTAGAGGTACTGTCCTTTTTCTACATTGTCTTGTCATCCTGTTGGAATTAGTAAATTCACTGAATCATACAGTAAGGTCCTATGTCCCCAATCTAATTCAGAATGACACTGTCATAATCATTAGCTATGAATCCTATAATTTATGGAAATGATAGCAAACAAGAGCATCGCTCTCTCCAAGGTGCAATCATGCAGCAAACTTTATTCTATTCATTGTTAACTTTTCAGATTCACACCTTCTACATTTTTCCCATCTCCCAGCAATCTGTTATACAGCCTCAAACTCTGAGAGATTTATGACTATTTTCTCATTTCAGACAGCAGATCTCTACACTCTTACAGTGAAAGGACAAGACCTCAATGGCAAACCAGGCGGAAACAGTGAAACCAGCACTGTTACCATTAAGATCCAAGACGTGAACGATAACCTTCCCACTCTGGAAAAAGACAAGGTAGGTTTCATTCTCACAGTTCTAAATTTTTTTCTTTTGCTGAGAAAATAAAAGTATATATGGAAATGTGGATGTCACAGATGATAATCAACAAATCCTGCTGAAATGAACCCTGTTACTTTCATCTCATAATGTGTTTTACTTGTAGTATGAAGCCAGTATTGAGGAGAACACTGAGGGTGTGGAGGTGATGAGACTCAAAGCACAAGACCTGGACTTAGAGGGCACAGAAAACTGGGAAGCTGTGTTTGAGATTCTCAAAGGCAACGAGGCTGGCTACTTCAGCATTAGAACTGACCCTGTCACCAACGAGGGTATCCTAATGCTTGACAAGGTACTGCAGTTGTAATTTAGAAGAAATATGTGTGCATGGGTAATTGTGGTAAATGCAGCCATCATGCTCCATACACAAAGAATCAAAGAAATGAAATCCTTGAAAGGAGTTTGTCATGGGTGTGACTTGGAGGTAAAATTCATTTAAATGTACTGGGGAGCAGACTGATCCAAAAACAGCATGCAAGTGTGTAATTATAGAAAAAACCAAATTACAAATTAAAAAATCAGTTAAGAACAATTTTTAAAACAATAAAAAGAGTCCCAAATGTTCCAACCACCGGTAAGAGTGCCAGTGTTAAAGAGTCCAGGGTCCAGCAGCGTTCAGTAGCGCAGTCAGTCTTATCAGCTCCTTCTTTGAAGCACCCACGTGGACCAATTAACAAACAAAGTAAAAACTCACATCAACAGACTCATTAGCCAAGCAAAACAAATCAAATAATCGTGCAATTAAATCAATATTCCAAACCAAGGCAAACATAGGCAAAACACAAAAGAAAGGCTCTTTCCTAATTAGCAAGTTTCGTGTCAAGTTCTTTGATTCCGTCGAGCATTACTGCCAGGGTGAAACATTCAATTTCATGAAAAGGAAAAGAAGCGAGACTTAACTGGAGGAGAGGTGAAGCATACATTTACCCCTTCACTATCCCATGAGGCATGTCCCTCTCTGATGCAGCAGCTTGTTGTGGCAGTGTGCGTGTGTTTAGCCTGTTTGGCCCTGCCTCACTCGTGGCTCCTGCAGGCTGTCCACCATTCTTCAAACTCCGCAGTCTCAACCCGACCGAAGGCTGGCGTCTCCACTCTGCTGTCAATGTCTCCTCTGTTCCTCCACCGCTGTCAGCACATACATCGTGCACACCTATGCTGCATCTCTCTGTCGATTAGCTGTGGAAGTAGGTAGAAGACGCTGCTGTGGAGCCCACTGCACCAATCAGTGCCTCCCGCACCCAGGTGTCTTCTCGGGTCAAATAAACCCAGCGAAAGCACAGGAAGTCTCCACCAAAAAAAAACAGCCCCGCCAGGATCAGATGCATACGCACAGTAACCCTGTGACAAGTAGATGTAGACATGACTAGAATAGTGACTCAGATACAGCAAGAAACAAAAAAAAGCCTCATGTGGCAAGTCACAGGTCAGTGTTAACTCAAGACTGCTCATTTTGGCTGGTACAGGCAGTAAGATTGGCTTTAACATGTCCAATCAATTTGAAATTAATGAAATTTCAGAGTTGTCATCTCGAGTGTTGCCTCCTTCAAGTGGAGTGGGCTTAGCTTAAAGAGGTGTGGAGAGCCAAGCAAAGTTGGTGTCTGATGTGGAGTCAACCAAGTTTAATCCTTTTATTTTAGGTTAACAAAGAGAAGATGAGACATGAGGGGCAATTCTTGGGTGTGGACAGGAGATGAGGGTTTGTAAGCTACCTAACTTCTCCCAGCAACATTTGCAGAGGCAGTTATCTAACCAAGTTGAAACTGAAATGATGAAGTGTAAATCTTCAATTATCCCTGGTCGCCAACTCATCCTTGATATTGTCTGATAATACAGTGAACTCTGCAAGAGAAATGTACAAGGCACCTCTCAAGCCTTCCATCTCTGCCTCCCTTGTGGAGAACAGGTGGGTTCAAAAGTTACTCAATGAGTTCTCTTCCCTGCTGAAAACAGTCTAGACTGAGCCCCACCTCCCCCCCCGGGTTGTCTTGACAGTTTTCCCTAACCATTTTGAGCTGAACCTGAAGTCTTTTTGAATTGCCTCCCCGAACTCCACAAGTACAAAAGCTGCAGTCCGTCTATCCTCCTGATACTTGACTACTGCTTCGGGTGTACCCTGGGCCGAAAGGGTACACCCGAAAGGGGACTCCTTCTTCAGCTTGGTGGTTTCCTTTCCACCAGGTTCTTTGGTTGCCATCAGGACAGGCACTGACAACCTTCTGGCCACAACTCCAACTAGCCAGCTTTGCAATGGAGATTTTGATGGCCCCGGCCCCAGCCCCATCAGGGATGCAGGAAAAATGATTCTGGAGGTTGGGCACATTTGGGTTTACCAGGACTATCTGGCAATCTCACCCATCACTGACAGCCAGGTGATCAGTAGACATCTCTTCTCCTCTCTTTACAAGAGTGTCAACTTCAGGTCAGATGAAGTCATTACAAAGTCAACATTTTGTTTAAGGTGTTCTGGTACCAAGTAAACCTAGGAACCATGTAATGCTAAAATATTGTATTTGTTATGGACACTCCATGACAAACATTATGTCCATCAACAAGAAACTCAGATCAGGCAAGGCATTCCTCACAAAAAAACACCATCAGGATTCAATGATAGTTGATACCTCTCCCCCTTTGCCACCAGAAAGGTAGAAGAGATGTTTCACAACCCTAGAGCCAGGTTTTGTAGCCTGGACTCAGCACCGCAAGGCCACCTAATTGGGTACGTACCTCACCCTCACATCCAAACTTGCTGGGTGCTGGGTTCACAAGGCACAGAATGAGATTGACCAAGTCCCATGGGTGTAGGCACAGCAACCAGAGGCTGGAGCCTAGTCTCCATGTCCAGGGTAGGTAGCTTAAACAATTTTGGTCTGACCTGTGACCTGGGGCTTGTCTTAAGTTACCCTATGAAGAACTATTACCCCCGACAGACTATCTCCCAGGATAATGAGTTTATGCAAACCCTTCTACCACATTAAGGTGGTGATTCACTGATGGGCTGGTGATGTTTGACATTGGTTTTGGCTGAGACATGAC